CCCATTTTGAGACTGTATCCATCTTTAGAGCAAGTAGCAGCTGCTAAAGGTTTTCAGCTACCAAGGACCACAGTGAGTGTAGAGATCAGATAGGAGTACCTATCTATTGTAATGGTCCACTCAGATAAGGTCATTTTATCTAATATGTTATATAGCAATGGATAATGCTAATTTAGACTAAGATCAGGACAGCAGAAATGGAAATGAACATATTTGACAGTACACAAGACTGATAGTTTTTGATGAATGGTTACAAGGAAGAGTTTATAGTTTGCACAACAGGATAGATGGCAGTGGCATGCACAGTGACAAAGGACAAGCAGTTGTTCTCTAGGGACCAAGTGGTTTTTGTAGAAGAAAGTTGGTTTTAGTGATGATATGCTCCAAACAAAAAGAAAATGACAAAACCAAGACTTAAACTCACGTATTCTGTTTTTTTTGTTGTTGTTGTTGTTGAGACAGAGTCTCGCTTTGTCGCCCAGACTGGAGTGCAGTGGCCAGATCTCAGCTCACTGCAAGCTCCGCCTCCCGGGTTCACGCCATTCTCCTGCCTCAGCCTCCCAAGACGCTGGGACTACAGGCGCCCGCCACCTCGCCCGGCTAGGTTTTTGTATTTTTTTTAGTAGAGACGGGGTTTCACCATGTTAGCCAGGATGGTCTCGATCTCCTGACCTCGTGATCCGCCCGTCTCGGCCTCCCAAAGTGCTGGGATTACAGGCTTGAGCCACCGTGCCAGCCAACTCACGTATTCTGAATCAAGTCTTTAAGACATTATGTGGCTTAGACACGTGGCATGATTTAAATTTATCACTTTGATTTTTTTTCTCTGTAGTAGGTAGGAGCAAAATAAGGGAGTCTTTAAAGCTTCAGCCTTTAAACCTTTTTTTTTTTTTTTTTTTTTTGAGACAGGATCTTCTCGCTCTGTCGCCCAGGCTAGAGTGCAGTGGTATGACCTCGGCTCACTGCAACCTCCGCCTCCTGGGTTCAAGCAATTCTCCCGCTTCAGCCTACCGAGTAGCTGAGATTACAGGTGCAAGCCAACACAGCCTGGCTATTTTTTGTATTTTTAGTAGGTGGGTTTTCACTATATTGGTCAGGATGATCTCAAACTCCCAACCTCAGGTGATCCGCCCGCCTCAGCCTCCCATAGTGCTAGAATTACAGGAGTGAACTACTGCGCCCGGCCTAGCCTTTAAACTTTACAGAAGATCAGAACATTTTGACAGTTCTGTTGGGTTGCTCTAGAAGGAAAAGACAAAACAAAACCAAGCTCTAACAGTATCAATTTAATCTCAAGCAGAATTTCTGGTTATAGCTGTAGTACACTAAGGGTAGAGGTTCTTAATCTTCAGTCCAGTATTGATAACTCCCCTACAGTAAAGAGGAAGATATTGGCAAAAGCAGAATAACAGAACAGACACCTCAGGAATACATTCAAGGCAGATTTAGCCAGGTAGGGCAGCAGATCATGACTGTGTTCTCAATGCTTCGGGAGGCCAAAGCAAGAGGAATGGCTTGAGGCCAGGAGTTTGAGACTCGGGAAATATAGCGAGATCCCATCTCTACAAAAAATAAAACTAGCCAGGCGTGTTGGCATGCACCTGAAGTCCCAGCTACTCAGGAGGCTGAGGCAAGGAGGACTGCTTGTGGCCAGTTCAGGGCTGCAGTGAGCTATGATCATTTGGTATTCCAAATTTTCAAATGTACCGAAATTATCAATGTACTAATACATAATGGTGCTCTATTGTAGCTGCAGCTGAAATTTTTTTTCCCCGTTTCCTAAACTTTCATATATTTTGAAGTTTAAAATAAAAATGTCCATGTGTGTAGCTGTACAAGTGAATACATCCCCTTTAAAAAAAAGCTTGGGCCGGGCGTGGTGGCTCACGCCTGTAATCCCAGCACTTTGGCAGGCGGATCATGAGGTCAGGAGATCGTCTCAAAACAAAAAACAAAAAACAAACAAACAAACAAACAAAAAAAACCTTGATTTTTCACTATAGTAAAAAAAAAAAAAAAAAAGGGTAGAAACAAACCAGAGGTAATATAATAGTGCTTGATTAAAGATCTGTCAGACAGAAAATAACTGAGGATAAGCAGTTCAAACAACATACAACTCCTTTTAAAGGATAATTTTTAAAATTTTTGTAGCAAAAACTATTTCAAAATGATCACAATAATTTTGAGGTATGTCCTTACTTGGCTTAAGTCTGGACAAAAATATTTTAAATGTGTGCTTACAGAACACGGGCAGAGCTATTTTTGATGGATTACTCACTTCTGAACATTATTCTTATGATCAAATAAAAATAGGATACAGCTAAGCTTTAAATATTTGAAGGTAGCTTGTTTGGACTAGACAATATCGAATTGGCCAGCCTACAAGGAATTGGTAGGTATAAAATATACAATTATTCTACATACTGTACATTTTTATGTGATTAAAATCCTTTTAAAAATACTTCAGAGAAATTAAAAGACCATTAATCAGTTTCGAGGCTGTCCCTTTCCATTTATAATGACACAAAAATATTGCTACTAATTTTGCACAAATTTAATATGGAAATATTTTCAACAGAATAAGACACAACAATGAAGGCTTCATGAATAATTTATTCCATTTGAAGTTTTGTTTTTTGTTTTTGTTTTTTTTTAAAAAGTATAAACCTTTTCATTTCCTCAATCACAATTTGTACAACTCAGTGTTATGGCATTCGGCAGCAATAGTGTTTGTTCCTTATTCTCTTTTTGTCACGTTAAAAAGAAAAGCAATTGGACCATATTAAATGTCACTGCTAAACAACAACTTTAAAACGCCCCTTCATAAAGTGACCAAGCTATTTTGAGAGGGTTGATGCTGACATGTCCAGTAATGACGTTACAATTTGTAGCTTAAACTCAATAACTTTAAGGTCCACATATCCAGTTTACTTTGAAAACTAAAGCTGTTTTAAAACTTCATGAATATATCAACCTGAGGAGTATTTTAGGTCCCAAATCCAGTTTTTAAATTTATACTCCACAAAAAAGAAAATACATACATAAAAATTTAAACCACAGTTCTGGGCCCATTAAAATACCAAAAAACAAACAAAAAAAAAACCCAAAAAAACAAAAAAAAAACCCCAAAAAGTTAAGATTTCCAGCTCATTTTTGGAGGGGTGGGACAAAATAAGAATGTATATTAAAAACATTTTTCCTTAATTCAGACGAACTAAAATCTTAAGAGGAAACCCAGACCAAAATATTACTCATGCAACATTAAGTGTATTAACTGATTGATATGCAATGCCATAGTGGATGAATAGCAAATTATATGATGCAATAGCATTTAAAAACTTTTTAATCTATTCAATTTGAACATTTTAAATAATGCAACATAGTATTCTGATATTACAGTATTAACATAGTGCTTGATTAAAGATCTGCAAATCTTTGTAGTAACACATTAAGTTAAAAAATTACCTACAGAAGGTAAGTATGAAGACGAAAGGAGAATATTTTAATACAGTAATCTGTGCCATACTGACAATTGAGTACGAATACAGCTGAGGATAGTTGACTAAGTAGTAAGAGCTTAATTTTAGTGGTTTAAGAAAAGTTTAGAAATATTTAAAAATTACAGCTACTTTAAAATTTAAGGATTACATATAAGTACACTTGGTGGCCTTCTGGCCAAACAATAAGGTGTACAGAAATTTATTCATACAGTGTTAATTCACAGTCCTGATAACTGAATGGCTTGCATAAGAAAGGTATGGCTAGATGTTTCTCACTGGCTGGAAGCAGACATTATATAACTAATCTTTTTAAATGACAAAATACTGAACTTCCACCCTGCTTAATAACCATGGATAACTGCACAAAAAAAAGATGTTAGCATTGTAACAAAGAAGTCAAGGTGTTGGTAATCCACTGCTAAAAAGCATAATATTTTGCTTACCCATTTAAACAAAACTACCCATACTTGTCTGTGACAGTACATTAGTAAGTCAAATCCATCATCCTGCACGAGGCTTAATTTCTCAAATAAGTCTATGAGCTTTTCTAATGATTATTTAATAACTTTCTATTGAGTGTGAGTGGATATATGAAGGGAAAAAAAAATCTTATCAATAAATACTGTATATTTGGGAACTATTCCCTGATTCCCAAATAAAAAATAATTGTATACTGGGTTCCCTCCTTATGGCTCCACATTAAATAATCTGTCAGGGAATGATTTTAAATCTACTTTCAATCTGAGGTGTGGTTACCACAGGTTAGTGATTTTAAACAACTGAGAATATAACTTTTATTTTGTAAAGTCACTATTAAGTATATAAAAAGGATACTCTTTTTATGGAAATTCCAAATAAGCATATTTTCCTTCAAATCTCAGACAAGTTTTTGGTTTTTTTGTTTTTTTTTGTTTTTTTTAAAGAAAGTACAGAACAAAACATACCAAAATAATGTGTGGTGTGTTAGCATAATTTAAAAACAAATGCAGAGAGGTGATCTTTAAATTTAATATCAAAATATGCTGACCATTGGAACTGCATTATAGTTTTGAAGAAATGATTGAAAACCTTTGTCAATTGTGTTTGCTTCATAGAAAAAACAAGACTTGCTAATGTTTTCATATACACAATCTGAAGAAGTTATATCGTTCATAAGAAAGTGATATTTAATTCTAAGCATAGAGTATTCACAAAACAAGTTTCAGTAAAAAAAAAAAAAAACCAAAAAACCAAAAAAAAAACCCACTGAAATAGAGTTTTGTAAATACAACTTATTTTGTCCTTGTAGATAATTAGTGAACGTACAAATAGAAATTTTGCTAGACTGCTTCCAAGAAAGATAGGTAGACTCGGCGACTGTGAATTCAAGTCAGCAATGCAGGTAGGAGGCGAACTTGGGCTCTTTTGTGAGCAGCACTGTAGAAAGGATTTTTCAAGGGGGTACACCCTGCATAAAAGCAGTTATCTTGGCATGTGCAAACAAGAAGGGGGAAAGTTGTATTGAAGGAGGGGTGAATTAAAGTCCCTAAAATTCAAGTCCCTTCTTTAGGGAGGTGAGAACCTCCTTGGCATATGCCCTACCTTAATCTGAGCTGTGTTATAGAAAAGTACAGACTCTGGTGTTTGGGACTGACATCTCCAAACCAAGAAAATTAAATAAATAAAAAAGGCAAGGGAAGTTTAGAAAATGGTTCTTTCACTAGTGGAATAGAGTCTGAATACCAGAATTCACTGAGAATCTATTTACACCACAGTTTGATTGCGCGCACACACACACATCCATACATATGCATACTCTCACATACATTCCCAATCTTTAATTTAAAAAAAAAGTCAAACAATCAAGAGTGACTGCTTGTAAAATAATTTGTAAAATGCCTAGAGCTGGGCTAAATTTCAACCTTATAGCAGATCCTGAAAATAAATTTCATAATAATAGTCCCATGCCTAAATGTGCCACTGCTAAAACTGAAAAAAATTTAAGCATGTAACATTAAACACCAAAATTAGTTTAAGCATTCAGTAGCAAATGGTTTTTCTTGTAAAACTAAGTTTCTTGCACTGGAAATGGCCTGAAATATTAGTCATAGCCCTAAACCATAGTACAAAATATAACTGAAGAATTCTCATTTTATTCTAAGTTAAACCACCTAACAATACCACTTGTATATTGCCATCATGTTATTCTGTAAAGATGTGATATATAAAATGCTGTAAGACCTGGTACCTTTTCAATTTATAAACACAGTGAACTTCATTACTGTACATGTACTCTGCAACTACAGCTTAGCTGTAAATCCTCCACACACAATGGTATGGACATTATTCCCCCTCTATCCCCGTTAAACTGTACATCGAGACAATACAAATTTACTGTCCCACCCACCCCCTTACAAAAAAATAATACTCTAAAAGCAACCCTACTGCAACTTTTTAATTAAGACGATTACATATATTTTAGACCAATTGCTTTAAAGCAAGAAGGCAGTATAAACCTTCTAGGAAAATTTTTATAAAAGAGGTTAAGAAATATAAGACAATTTATACATTTAAAAACTTACAATAAATAAGAGATGCAGGCATTTTTGAATACTAGATACTATAATCCAATACAAGAACATCTTCATGTTCTGAAGCCATATGTTGAAATTCATTGTTCCTCATGTTTCCTCTCCATGCTTTTAATATTCATTTAACATGACTGGGTACTATGGCTCATTACTTTTCACAAATACTGTGACTGGAAAAAAAAAGGTTAATTTTGCTACGAAAATGTTATAATACGTTTTGTATGATCAGTCATCATCCTAAAGAGTTCAGTAGAGTCAATGAAAAATAGCAGGGTTATAGCCCCTCCCCCCAAGTCAAAACAATATTTGTTGAAGTAATAAGAATTAGACCCCATCACAAATAACTTTCACTGAGAAGGTAATTGTAACTTAATCCTGCAGCGAAATATCCATTTTTCCTTGTTCTTTTCTTGCACAGTTCCATCAAATGAAGATCACAGCATATTCATAATAAAGTTATATAACTGATTCAGCACCACAAAATGAATTGGGAGACATGAGCGTCTGTCCTGGATTGCAGGGTCACAGGTTAGCCAGGAGAGTGCATTGTACTGTTCCAAAACAAACCTGAAAAGTAAATAAACTGCATAAGTCATGTATTTATTTCCAATCCAGATTGGAAGCAGTTTTCAATCATGGCATTTAAGACTCAAAGTCACCTTAAAAAAGAGTGTAACAGAGAGTCCCTGGGGGGAAAGAAGCAATTTCCATAAAAATTATCCTCAAAAGTAGATTACTCATGTTAGAATAGCAGTGCTTAGAGATCCAGTGATATACAACTGTGAATTCTTGCCAAAAATGAGAAAAATAGAAAAGAATCAACACTATATTCTTTTAAAGTTGCAGTAACAAATTGTTAAGGGTAAAAGACTTGTACCTGAGGACATCTGAAGTCTGATTTGAGTCAAGTGGGTGGGAGTGTTTACTGTGAAGCAGCTCGTCAGATTGCACTGAAGGCACGTGAAGGTGCAAAGAGGCCTAAGAAGGTAACAAGTAATCAATCAGTCAGCCAAATAGAAAATAATCTGCTAATTAATTTTACCTTATTCTCCCAGTGTATCTTCTAAAATGATTAAATACATTTTAGTCCTGTTATGAATGAAAGCCACTATAAAAATTCTTGTTTTCTTTAATTCATTATAGACTTTTTTTTTTTTTTTTAAGTAGGGGCAGCTTCTTGTTCTGTTGACCAGGCTGGTCTTGAACTCCTGGCCTCAAACAATTCTCCTGCCTTGGCCTCCCAAAGTGCTGGGATTACATGCATGAGCCATTGCGCCTAGCCAGAAGTGATTTTTAGGTGCAAAACTTATTTTGAATCTATTTTCTTTACCTTTATTGTTTTTGAGACCATACAATAATCCTTAGAAAAAGAATTTCTAATTATCTGCTAAGTCTAATTTGCCTAGATGTGCAACGTAAATGTTTAAGGAGGCACTAAATTGAGTAAACCTGAGTAGTCTGTCCGTAAGGTATGACACCCTTTATGACTATGCAGACATACCTAAGTCTAGCACTGAAAAAAGTAACAGGCGTAAGCATAAGCAAATAGTTTGGTTACAGCACAATAAACCTTAAACAAAGCTATCTTGGGTTGAACTGAGAACACCCTAAGTAATAAGGTGCACAGATGCCTGCTTTGCCCACTCAATTTCATAACAGAGGATTAGTAAAAACTGGCACACTCATTTAGATATGGCAATGAATAGTGGGAGAAAGGAATGAGCTACTCCACACTCCAATTAAAAGGGTCATTTTGTTTATAAGTCAATATATGTAAGTCAATATAGTATTAAAAAGCTATGACAAAACAATGGTGATGTTCACTGCAGTAACTCTTGGTAGATTTCATTCTGTATACTGTAAAAGGTACTATTTTATATTTAGGTGCTCTCTCCTATGCAACTGCAATATATGTAGAAACTCGTACAGTATATTTAGGAATATAACCAAAGATATCTATGTTTGAACTGTCTACAAACTCTTGATTTATGGAGTTATAAGCAAGTCTCACACTGCAAATCACTACAAATTTTTAAAATGTAATTAGTACCAGTACTCTATTCCTATGATAAAAAGGAATCTAGCTAACAACCTGCTATATTTCCAAGCAAAGAGAAACATATCAGGTGGCTTTACTGCCTACAGTATAAAACTGAGATATACGAAAAAAAAAAGTGAACGAAACTTATAGTAAATTATGCTTTAGGTGGTAGTTCATAACCAGAAGTCCTAATCTTGTTACAATGTATCTAACAGTGAATGTCCGCTTTACACTATCCTTTCTGCAAATAAATACTGAGTAGGAAAGGCTCTAGATAGTCCCTTGGACTTTTTGTAAACTTGTGTTTCCTGAAGCACATCCCCTGAAACACTAAGGTAATAAACTATTAGCAGGTGTTAAATAATCCTTTCCTTGTGTATTAATAAGTTTGGGAAATGCTAGGTAAACTATTTTATTTACCTCTGTTTTTCAGAGACTTTAGTGTGCATACATGTATTATGACTAGAAAAGAGGACAGATAGCATGTGTAGCACCCTCCCAAAGGACCACAAAGAACCCTTTGTTTTGTGGAGACACCACAGACTACTAGTATATAGAAAATCCCTTGAGAATATGTTCTTATTTATTTATTATTTATTTATTTAATTTATTTTTTATTGAGACGGAGTCTTGCTCTGTTGCCCAGGCTGGAGTGCAGTGGTGCCATCTCAGCTCACTGTAAGCTCCGCCCCCCGGGTTCACGCCATTCTCCTGCCTCAGCCTCCTGAGGAACTGGGACTACAGGTGCCCGCCACCACTCCTGGCTAATCCCAGGGTTTCACAGTGTTCGCCAGGATGGTCTCGATCTCCTGACCTTGTAATCTGCCTGCCCTGGCCTCCCAAAGTGCTGAGATTACAGGCGTGAGCCACCGCGCCCGGCTGAGAATATGTTCTTGTAATGAGATCTTTATAGACCACTGCACATCTACTGGAAGAGGAAGAAATGTCATATGACGAAGCTATTACTTGACACCCTTTAAATATATTATCTCATTAATAATCAATTCAGATCATCAGCTGTTGTATTCTTTATAAATGTGGTACAGAAGTCCACTGTTTAATCTCAAATGTCATTGAGTCAATGGATGTGATCCAAAGATATCAAGATTTAATAGCAACAGGTTTAGAAAATAGCAAGAAACCTATTGGTCTAGTACCCACTAAAATATATCCCTAAGAAACCAAAGCATACATACAATCCAACTTCTACTCCAACAGGTAAAAATAACTTAGCATGTGTGTATGTATACATGTATGTATTGATTGACTGAGACAGAGTCTCGCTCTGTCACCCAGGCTGGAGTGCAGTGGTGCGATAGCTCACTGCAACCTCCACCTTCCGGATTCAAGTGATTCTCCTGCCTCAGCCTCCCTAGTGGCTGGGATTACAGGCACCTGCCACCATGCCTGGCTACTTTTTTTGTATTTTTAGTAGAGGCAGGTTTCATCATGTTGGCCAGGCTGGTCTTGAACTCGTGACCTCAGGTGAGCTCCCTGCCTCAGCCGCCTGAAGTGCTGGGATTATAGGCGTGAGCCATTGCACCTGGCCCAGTTAGCAAGCATTTATTTATATTTATTTATCTTTTTTGAGACGGAGTTTAGCTCTTGTTGCCCAGGCTGGAGTGCAATGAACCTCCGCCTCCTGGGTTCAAGCGATTCTCCTGCCTCAGCCTCCAGAGTAGCTGGGATTACAGGCATGCACCGCCACTTCCGGCTAATTTTGTATTTTTAGTAGAAACAAGGTTTCTCCACGTTGGTCAGGCTGGTCTCGAACTCCCGAGCTCAGGTGATCTGCCTGCCTCAGCCTCCCAAAGTGCTGGGTTTACAGGTGTGAGCCACCGTGCCCGGCAGCAAGTATTTAAATTAGCATGATTTGGTGATTAAAAACAGTCAACTTCTGGTGGGTTTACATAAGAGTAAGTGAGTCACATCTAAATTTGTTATTCTGGAACAATATCAGCAGCAGTAATAAATTCTGCATAGGGCTTTTATATCTCATTTTGTGACTTATCTCCACTTCACGTTACATTGCTTACTAACAAATTTGGTTTTGCTTTTTTGAGAGAGGGTCTCCTGTTACACAGCTGGAGTACAGTGGCATGATCATGGCTCACTACAGCCTCAACCTCCCGTGCTCATGCGATCCTCCCTCCTGCCTCAGCTTCTCATGTTACTAGGACTACAGGCACGTGCTACCATGCCTAATATTAAAAATTTTTTAGAGAGACAAACTTTCACTATGTTGTCCAGGCTGATCATGAACTCCTGGCCTCAAGCGATCCTCCTGCCTTGACCACCCAAAGTGCTCGGATTATAGGTGTGAATCACTGTGCCCAGCCTGAGTTTGTTGTAATAAATCACTATGAATCTGAGAGTCTCATTACTGTATTTAAAAACCACTCAGTTTTAACACAGTAATCTATATACAGCTAGAAAAACTTTAAGTAGTAAATGAAACTAAAAATCAAGTATTACAAAGATTATAAATCTTTTTTTTTTTTGAGACGGAGTCTCGCTCTGTCACTCAGGCTGGAGTGCAGTGGCATGATCTCGGCTCACTGCAACCTCTACCTGCCAGATTCAAGTGATTCTCCTGCCTCAGCCTCCCAAGTAGCTGGGACTACAGGCACATGCCACCACACCTGGCTAATTTTTTGTCGTTTTAGTAGAAACCCCCGGGGTCTCACCATGTTGGCCAGGCTGGTCTTGAACTGCTGACCTCGTGATCCACCCGCCTCAGCCTCCCAAAGTGCTGGGATTACAGGCATGAGCCACCACGCCCAGCCCAAGATTATAAATCTTTTATTCCCCAAAATAATGTAGCATAACAGCAGTGCAGTATGATGTAATTCAAAGAATAACACAATAATCATTAAAAGACCCAGGTTTCAGTCTTGAGTCTATTACCAATTATGACTTTAAACAGGTGAGTTTTTCTGAACTTAAATATGCTCACCTATAAAATGAGAAGGTTAGACTAGAGGTAACAAAGTTTCTCTCAGCTCTAAATTTACATATGTGCAGTTGAAACAGACTGAGCATCCCCAATCTGAAAAAATCCAAAAGTGGAAACACTTCTGGTCCCAAGCATTTCGAATAAGGGATACTCAATCTACACTAACAACAAGGATCCTAGGAGTTTGACTTAAGAATAAAGTTCTAAAAATATAAACTTAAAAGCTAGTTTTTTTTTTTTTTGAGAGAGTCTCACAGTGTGTGGCCCAGGCTGGAATGAAGTGGTACGATCTCAGCTCACTGCAACCTCTGCCTCGCAGGTTCAAGCGATTCTCCTGCCTTAGCCTCCCGAGTAGCTGGGACTACAGGCACCCGCCACCACACCTGGCTAATTTTTGTATTTTTAGTAGAGACTAGGTTTCGCCATGTTGGCCAGGCTGGTCTCAAACTCCTGACCTCAGGTAATCTGCCTGCCTCGGCCTCCTGAAGTGCTGGGATTACAGGCGTAAGCCACCACGCCTTCGTGATCTTGTTTGAAGAGTCACATATGGCAATTCATTTAAGAACTTAGACAAGCTATAAGACTTTAAAAAGCCACTTCTAGATTTCTCAGGACTTAGGCTGTCAATTAGAATTATTTAGGAACTGGGACAGAAATGGCAATACCTTAAGAAAAAGGGGACACTGATATTGTGCTTGAGGACATGCTGACCAGAACCAGTCAGGTAATGGACCTGCTTTGGCAGTTGATACAAAGTAACCAAGGGCCAATGGTTGCTGAAGAATATTAGGTACTTCCTCATGAGGTTCTGTTGAAAGTAGCCGATCAGTACTCTGACCCTTAAAAAGACAAAATTAGAAGTATATTATTAGTTCACTCAAATATAGCTAAGTACCAGATATAAACACAGAATGGCTTACAGCAATCAGTCTCATTAACTTATGACATCAATTTAACAAAATACTGAAGGATATTGAAAAAAACCAGTTTCTATGTACTTAAGAGTATTATAAGTAAAAGCATTAATAGAACATATTTTAAGAATTGTATTAAATGAATATGCCAGCTGTTTAACAAGTCTGTATTACTATGCCAAGCTCACAGGAAAGTGTGTAAACCTTCACAGATGAGTAAAACATACAAAATTTTCAATGACATCTTTAAGTTACTTGCTAATATTGCTTTAAGTCCTGAAAACCACACCCCAATTCAAAAGGTGGATTCAATTTAGCTTTGTTAATCTAGCACTATCTATAAAATGCAGTTAATAGTGCTGTGAAAATTATTATGGCAACATGAAGGGACAACTACTAAGTCACATTCATATCCTTTGGATTAATGTATTTCTTGGTATTTAAGGAAACAGACAAAAGAAAAAAAAATACGCATGAAAATGTTCATTACATCATTATCTATAATAGAAAAAAAACCTTACATGTCCAATATTTTGGGAAGGACACAAATCACGGCATAACAAAAATGCAACATTAAAAAGCTGATTATACTTATTGAAAACTGCAATATAAACATATGTGGAAGGATGATAATTTGCTTAAAAGTAAAAATGGTTTTATTAAGGTGGTGGGATTACTGGTGCTTTTCGTTGTATGTATTTCTTATCTAATTTCTTTGCAGTTACAAAAAGGAGGAAGGAATGCAAAGTAAGATTGGAAAAAGATCCTTCCCTACTTTAAAAGGGTAAATTTTAAACCTATGCATACTACAATAATCAAATCAGCAGTATATATAATTTCTTTTCTTTGAGATGGAGTCTTGCTCTGTCGCCTAGGCTGGAGTGCAGTGGTGCAATCTCAGCTCACTGCAAGCTCTGCCTCCCGGGCTGACGCCATTCTCTTGCCTCAGCCTCCCCAGTAGCTGGGACTACAGGCGCCCACCACCACACCCAGCTAATTTTTGTATTTTTAGTAGAGACGGGGTTTTACTGTGTTAGCCAGGATGGTCTTGATCTCCTGATGTCATGATCCGCCTACCTCAACCTCCCAAAGTGCTGGGATTGCAGGGATGAGCCACCGCCCCCAGCCCAGTATATATAATTTCAAATAGAGAGATGTTATTCGCTGAAGCCCAATTAGTTTTTACTTCAAATACAAGGTCAAGACAGCCTGCTTCCATAATTGCTAAAGATAAAAAGGGGAAGTAGATGGTCAGTGTTTTATGTGGTCTTATGAGAAAACTAGTATTTTTATTATATTCCTTGTCACAGCCCTGATATGAATGGCTGCTCTTAAAGAGTTATATATAGTGATTCTGAAAGATACTGTGATCCTGTATCTGAGTAAAAAACTATGGTGAACTGCCACAAAAACTACAAAAAAAGGAGTAATGCCAAATGGTCTAGAAAATACGGATTCAGAGAAAGCAGAGCCTTAGAGATTCTCTTAAAAATGTGCAATTCAAAGTACTGATGTCTATGATGTAGAAATGCATGAATGTACTGTTAATTAACCTCAACTCTTGCTAATTTCCAAGGAAAAATAGTATTGAATTTCATATATTAATCCATTACTAAGTTAACAAATGTCATTTAGAAAAATTACACTTTTTCATCACCCTCCTTTGGCGCCCAGGCTGGAGTACGGTGGCTTGATCTTGCTTGGCTCACTGCAACCTCCGCCTCCCAGGTTCAAGTGATTCTCCTGTCTCAGCCTCCCGACTAGCTGTGACTACAGGTGCGTGCCACCACACCGGGCTATTTTTTACATTTTTAGTAGAGACGGGGTTTCACCATATTGGCCAGGCTGGTCTCAAACTCCTGACCTCGTGATCCATCCACCTTGGCCTCCCAAAGTGCTGGGATTTCAGGTGTGAGACACTGTGCCCAGCCTAGAAAAACTAAAATTTACAACACAGTTACCTTGCCCACATCACCTCCATGGGGGTAATGAGATCCTGGAGAATGTACAGGAGAACCAGTTGGAGAAGCAGGAAGGATATTAATGATATCAGGGTCAAGATCATCTCCTGTGTCTAACAAATCAAAGATACCCATTCCATCTGCTCCATCTAAACAGGAGAAAGAAAAGAAATTTAAAACTCCATTTTCCATATCCTACGGTCATTCACAGGAAAGGGTCAAAATAAATGAAATTTTAACCAAAATGGGTTAATTTAACCAACATTTACTGAGTGTCTACCATGTGCCAAGTGTTGTGCTAAAAAACATACAAATAATTATGCATAAACAAGCATGTGGTAGTCTGAATAATGGCCCCCCAAAGATGTCCACATCCTAATCCCAGGAATCTAAGAATATGTTACCATAAAAGACTTTGCAGATGTGATCAAGCTAAGGATCTTGAGATGGGGAGATTATTCTGGATTATCCGGGTGGGTCCAATGTAATCACAGGGGTCCTAATAAGAGGGAGGCAGTAGGGTTAGAGTCAGTGAAGGAGATGTGATGACACTATACTGCTGGCATCCAGGATAGAGGAAGGGACCATGAGCCAAGGAATGCAGGTGGCCTGTAGAAACTGACAAAAGCAAGGAAACATTTTCCCTTAGGGCCTCCAGAAAGTAATCAATCCTGCTGACATTTTAACTTTGGCCCATCGAGACTGATTTTGGACTTCTGACTTCCAGAACTGTAAGATAAAATAAATGGGTGTTGTTTTAAGCCACTAAATGTGTAGTACTTTGTTAGAGCAGCAATAGGAAACTAATACAAAGCAAACATAGTACAAAGGAAATGAAAATGTGTTTAAAGTGGGACTGCAGTAGTCCCCCTTATCCATGGCGGATATGTCCCAAGACCCACCCCCATACCCACATAGATTTCTGAAACCAAGGATAGTACCAAATCCTATATACTGATTTTTCCTTTACATACACACCTATGATGGAGTTTCAATTATAAATTAGGTACAGTAAGAGATTAACAACAAGAATATTAGAATAATTACAGCAACGTACTATAATAAAAGAGATGTGAATGTGGTCTCTCTCACTCTCTCTTTCAAAGTATCTTATTGTACTGTACCCATGTAAAGGAAAACCAAAGATAAGGAGGATTACTGTATTTATGAATAATACCATGTTCTTTATTAAGTAAAATACTCGAGTTATTATATAACACACTAAAACAAGAGAGCATAATATCCATATTTCTGACTTTAGAGATGAGATTTTTTAAGGTATCTCAGAATAACAATAAAATATTATTTTCTCTTCTACTAAAATGTAAACTATAAATTCACCTGGAAAAGCTACCTCCCTACTTTGGCAGTTTATATAAATTATATTATTTTGGTAAATCAACAGAAGAGATATATAAAATGAGTTCATGTACCGGTACCTCAAAAGCACAAGGGTAAACCTATACAAATATTTTGTGAACAACTATTGCCTTTTAAAATAAGTAAAGATGGCTGGGCATGGTGGCTCACACCTGTAATCCCAGCACTTTGGGAGGCCAAGGTGGGTGGATCATTTCAGGTCAGGAGTTTGAGACCAGCCCGGCCAACATGGTGAAACCCCATCTTTACCAAAAATACAAAAATTAGCCAGGCATGGTAGCATGCGCCTATAATCCCAGCTACTCGAGAGGCTGAGGCACGAGCATCGCTTGAACCCAGGAGGTGAAGGTTGCAGTGGGCTGAGATTGTACTACTGCACTCCAGCCTGGGAGACAGAGTGAGTGAGACTCTGTCTCAAAAAGTTTTTTAAAAGTAAAGATTTATGGGATAATTCACAGCACCAGTTCTGGTATCACAGCACCAGTTCTGGTATCAACAAGGTAAAAGAATGATTGTATTAAGTTTCCTGTTGCCGCTTTAACAAGTTACCACAACCTGTTGGCTTAAAAACAACACACATTTATTTTCTTACAGTTCTGGAGGCCGGAAATCTGAAATCAGTTTCGTTGGAGTGAAATCAGGATGTTGGCAAGGCTGAAGGGGATAATCTGTTTCCTTGTCTTTTCCAGAGTCTAGAACTATATTCTTTGGTTCACGGGCTCTTTCACCATCTTCAAAGTCAGCAACATAGCATCTTCTCCCTTTGACTTTGCTTCCCGCTGTTTCCATCACATGGCTTTCTTCTCTTCTATGTAGTCAAACCTCCTTCTGCCTCCTTCTTATAAGAATACATGTTATTGCATTAAGGGCCCACCTGCATAATTGAGGATAATCTCTCCATCTCAAGATCCTTAACTTATCACATCTGCAAAGTCATTTTTTGGTAAAATAAGGTAACATTCACATGTTTCAGGTATTTGACATGAATTTATTTTGGGAGGTATTCTTCAGACTACCAAAATGGAACAAATTACCTACCATTGTTGGGATTGAAAGCTAAATCCAAATTTTCAGTGGTATAAGTAGCTGAAGCTACTTGCACAGAAGCAGAAGTAGGAAACACAAGTATATGAGTACATGATGTATCCTGTGGGGTATTTAGCTGAGATGTCTGCATGTTTAGAGTCGTGCTTCTTCCAAATACAGAACCAGTTGACACAGAATCTGAAAAATGAAAGACATTTTTTTCTTTTAATAAATGAAGAATAAATTTTATGTAATACTTAAAAACTGCATAAAGAATTAAATCTGATATAAACTAAAGATAGCTAACCTGGCATAATAACAAAAGAGCCTTGGGGCTCCATTGCCACCAAGCAAGCACTGAGAATGCTAGGGGAGTCTGCAGCAGATATACCACACATTCTACACATGTCTTTGAGCCTTTTACTTAGAGACTGCAAGTTTCGACGACTCAGCAAACAGCTCCAATCTGTGGGTATTGACAGTTTAAAAAAAAAAAAAAAATCAAAGTAACAGCATTATTAATATCCTGTAGAACCAAGTTAAAGTTAAAACATAAAAATAGTTAATGGCTTTTAAATTAGTGTATTCCTCAAACTGGAGTCATCATCAAGCCAAACTTACTGCTGATGCTACTCAACATCCTTTATCCCCCTAATATTAGGTATACCAAATTCAATTAGTATCTGCTCAACAGAGGATGAGTTAAATAACAATCAGAAAGTGGGAAAAACAGAAAACAAGTAAGAACAGCAGTAATAAGACTGCTATTAAAGTTAAAAAAGAGTAAAATGTCTTTTTAAAATTTGAATTTAGCCATTTGTGGCCTAGACATATGTGTTTCCTTATTTGATAACCTTTGCATTGTATTCAACATATATACCTAGATGTGGTCAGAACAGTGTGTGAATTAACATAAAACAGAAATATAAATACTAATAAAAGCACAACTTTACCTTTCAATTCTCCATGACCAATCCTTCCTAGACGACCAATTACAACTCTCCATGGTAATGAACTCATTTGTACAAGTCCTAAGCACCACTCCCAAAGTTTCTGTAGACCAAATTTTCTAGCAGAACTTTTTTTCCGACGAGCCCTATTGTATGAATAGAGAGTGTCATAAATATATTTCTAAATTTTATGATTTTTGTTGTTGTTGTTGTTTTGAGATGGAATCTCACTGTTGCCCAGGCTGGATGGAGTGCAGTGGCGCAATCTCAGCTACCTGCAACCTCCATCTACCTGGGTTTAAGCGATTCTCCTGCCTCAGCCTCCTGAGTAGCTGCAACTACAGGTGCGTGTCACCACACCCGGCTAATTTTTTGTATTTTTAGCAGAGACAGGGTTTCACCATGTTAGCCAGGATGGTCTCAATCTCCTGACCTCGTGATCTGCATGCCTTCGCCCCGCAAAGTGCTGGGATTACAGGTGTGAGCCACCACGCCCAGCCCGACATTTTAAGAGAGCCCAAATTTGTGAAAAACAGATCCCCTTTATTTTAGTGCTTCACATCTTTACACAAGTCCTAAGCGAGAATATTCATAAAATCGTAAGTTTGGCATGTGAGTTTTTCTATTTCACATTACAATATATAAATTTTTAAAAAAATTTGTCTAAAACACCTCAATTCATCAGAAATACTGCTCTCCACCAGGGATTTTTTTTTTTTTTTTTTTTTGTTAGATGGAGTCTCACTCTGTTGCCCAGGCTGGAGTGCAGTGGCACAATCTCGGCTCACTGCAACCTCTGCCTCCCAGGCTCAAGTGATTCTCCTGGCCTCAGCCTCCCGAGCAGCTGGGATTACAGGCACCCACCATCATGTCTAGCTAATTTTTGTATTTTTAGCAGAGAGGCGGTTTCACCATGTTGGCCAGGCTGGTCTCAACTCCTGACCTCAGAGGATCCTGTTTCAGTATCCCAAAGTGTTGGCATGAGCCACTGCGCCTGCCCAGCAAAAATTTTTTTTTTTTGAGACGGAGTCTTGCTCTGTCACCTAGGCTACATTGCAGTGGCGTGATCTCTGCTCACTGCAACCTCTGCCTCCTAGGTTCAACTGATTCTCCTACCTCAGCTTCCCCAGTAACTGGGATTATAGGCGCCCGCCACCACACCTGGCGAATTTTTGTATTTTTAGTAGAGATGGGGTTTCACCATCTTGGCCAGGCTGGTCTTGAACTCCTGACCTCGTGATCTACCCACCTCGGCCTCCCAAAGTGCTAGGATTACAGGCATGAACCACCCCTCTTGGCCCAGCAAACTGTTTTTAAAGAGCCAATACTTCAAATGGGAATGGCCAGATTTGGTTATTCCATGGGCCGTAGTAAGCAATCCCTGTTCTATACTATAAATTGAAGACTGACCAAAACACCACACTTCTCAGTCCAAACAACATTGTTACCTGTATTCTGCATACATCTCCTTCACTAGCCAAATATGCAACATAAGCACTCTGTGGCTGAGCAACAGTGGCTATTTTATTATTATTATTTTTTGAGACGGAGTCTAACTCTGTCACCCAGGCCAGAGTGCAATGGCGTGGCCTCAGTTCATTGCAACTTCCACCTCCTGGGTTCAAGCGATTCTCCTGCCTCAGCCTCCCTAGTAGCTGAGACTACAGGTGTGTGTCACCACACCTCGTTAATTTTTGTATTTTTTTTCTTTTTTTGTTTTTGAGATAGAGTCTCACTCTGTCACCAGGCTGGAGTGCAGTGGCATGATCTCGGCTCACTGCAACCTCCGCCTCCCAGGTTCAAGTGATTCTCCTGCCTCAGCCTCCCAAGTAGCTGGGACTACAGGCGTGTGCCACCACGCCCAGCTAATTTTTGTATTTTTAGTAGAGATGGGATTTCAGCATGTTGGCCAAGAGAGTCTCCATCTCTTGACCTCGTGATCCACCCACCTTGGCCTCCCAAAGTGCTGGGATTACAGGCATGAGCCACCATGCAAGGCCTAATTTTTGTATTTTTAGTATAGATGGTGTTTCACTATGTTGGCCAGGCTGGTCTTGAATTCCTGATCTCAGGTAATCCGCCTGCCTTGGCCTCCCAAAGTGTTGGGATTACAGGCATAAGCAATCATGCCCGGCCAACAGCAGCTATGACTTACTGAGTACTTACTATGTACCATCCATTGTGCCCAATCAATTTACATGTAATACCTCATTTCATCCTAACAACTCCATGAGACAAATAAAACTATCCTCCTGACTTCATATATAAGTAAGCTGGAACTCAGCTGCATAAGGGTAGTTATTCCAAGGTCAGTAGTGGCAGGTTTGGGATTTGAGCCCAGGTCTCTCTGACTCCATCACTGCCCTTGTTTTTTTTTTTTTTTAAGACAGATTTTCACTCTTGTTGTGCAGGCTGGAGTGCAATAGTGCAATCTCGGCTCACTGCAACCTCCGCCTCCTGGGTTTGAGTGATTCTCCTGCCTCAGCCTCCCAAGTAGCTGGGATTAAAGGCATGTGCCACCATGCCTGACTAATTTTTTTGTATTTTTAGTAGAGACGGGGTTTCACCATGTCAGTCAGGCTGGTCTCGAACTCCTGACCTCAGGTGATCCACCTGCCTTGGCCTCCAAAGTGCTGGGATTACAGGCGTGAGTCACTGCACCCAGCCCCATCATTGCCCTTCTTAACCATTATCTAACTTCTACTTTATCAAGGTAGTAAAATGGTAATACTATTTTGATAATGAAAAGGGTGGTTTTTTTCCCTCTACTTTCTCATACTTCACAGATGAGCACATTCTTTCCCAAGCTCACTTAATTAGTATAAATATCCGATTAAAAAAATCAAAATTGTATTAAGGAAATAAGATAGGAAGCACTGTTCTAAGGTTCATAATATAAAGCTTAACAGACTTATTAATAACCAATAATATAAAATTATTGTTCCTATCTTCTGCTTCCCCAGCACCACTAAGACCTAATAATCATTAGCTATTTCTGCATATATTCAATTTCTCACCTAAAAAAGAACAGGCTTTTATATAATAGGGAAGAAAATAAACGATAGAACCCAAATCTTTTTTTTTTTTGAGACAGGATCTCACTCTGTCACCCAGGTTGAAGTACTGTGGCGCAATCTCAGCTCACTCTGCAGCCTCAACTTCCTGGGCTCAAGTGATCCTTCTGCCTCAGTCTCCCAAGTAGCTGGGACTACAGGTGTGCCACTATGCCCAGCTAATATTTGTATTTCTGTACAGATGGGGTTTCGCCATGTTGCCCAGGCTGGTCTTGAACTCCTGGACTCAAGTGATCTGCCTTGCCTCAGCCTCCCAAAGTGTTGGGATTACAAACATAAGCCACCATGCCTGGCCAGAACCCAAATCTTAAAACTAAAAATCATTTCACAGATTTGCTTTTCAGGTTCTCCTGTTCAGCGTTCACTAGCTTTGATAACTCAAAATGAGGCTCACCTGTTGGGACCTATTAGTTATATCCTTCGCAAACAATTGGACATGGTATTTACTGCCAAGAATCCTAAAATGGCCATCATATTCTGAAGACATCCTAACTTTTTTTTTTTTTTTTGAGACAGTCTCATTTTGTCGCCCAGGCTGGAATGCAATGGCGTGATCTCAGCTGACTGCTACCTCTGCCTCCCAGATTCAAGTGATTCTCCTGCCTCAGCTTCCTGAGTAGCTGGGATTATAGGCACCCACCACCACACCCGGCTACATCCTAACATTAAATGATAAAATTTTATTTATTTATTTATTTTTTTGAGACGGAGTCTCGCTCTGTCGCCCAGGCTGGAGTGCAGTGGCCGGATCTCAGCTCACTGCAAGCTCCGCCTCCCGGGTTCACGCCATTCTCCTGCCTCAGCCTCCCGAGTAGCTGGGACTACAGGCGCCCGCCACCTCGCCCGGCTAGGTTTTTGTATTTTTTTAGTAGAGACCGGGTTTCACCGTGTTAGCCAGGATGGTCTCGATCTCCCGACCTCGTGATCCGCCCGTCTCGGCCTCCCAAAGTGCTGGGATTACAAGCTTGAGCCACCGCGCCCGGCCATAATGATAAAATTTTAAATCGCCAATTTTAGTAAATGAAGTTAACTTAGTTAATTAGGGGCTATATCTTAGATGGTATATGAGAAAAGTTTAAATGTTCTATACTTACTAGACCATTTTTTAATTGCAGAAGTGTTTTCTAACTACATCTTTCACAAATGTTCAGCTAAAATAATTGCAAGCTTTATGACACAGAAGTTAGTGATCTTAATGTTTTTTGTTCATGTAATAGATTAATCATAATTATTTTTAATTATCTTATACAATATAAACATTCACTACAGAAAAAGTAAAAAGCACCCACAATCCCACATCTTAATATTTTAATATATACAAAACCTTCAAGCTGGTTTTCTATTCATTAAAAATGAAACAATATATATACACACACACACATATATACACACACACATACACACTCACACACATGAAAAATGGAATGATATGATATATTTAGGGAAATACAAATACCTATTTGGAACATCGATGTTAATGATACAAGTTTCTAAAAGTTCTCCATAGAGATCTGTGCAAGATGCAAGAATCCACCTTTGATCATGTGATAAACAGTATCCCACAAAAAGAACATTGTATTTCTGTCCAGCTTCTCCAAATGTTTCTCCTAGCTCTGTCTGTTTGTCCTTCACTGGAGCCAGAATAAAAGGAGGTGCATAAAGTCGAATACACTCTGGTCTCTATAAAATAAAAAATTAAGGTATTATCATACTATACAATCTTAGATAAATATGCATTTAAAATGTAATTATCATCTACCCAATTATAAGATAACTGGAAAATGAGAGCTAAGCCAAAAATTGCGCTTAGTTTTGCATAATATCAAAAAAGTGTTGGCAGGGCGCAGTGGCTCGTGCCTGTAATCCCAGCACTTAAGGAGGCAGAGGTGGGCAATCACCTGAGGTCAGGAGTTCGAGACCAGCCTGGCCAACATGACAAACCCCCCCCACACACACAAAATTAGCTGGGCCAGATGGCGCATGCCTGTAATCCCAGCTACTCAGGAGGCTGAGGCAGGAGAATTGCTTGAACCCAGGAGGCGGAAGTTGTGATGAGCCGAGACTTCCCCACTGCACTCCAGCCTGGGTGACAAAGTAAGCCTCCATCTCAAAAAAAAAAAAAGTATGTATAGTCATTCAACAACTTTGGTCATGAAAAACATACTTACATCAGGACTTCTAAGGGCAGTTTCCATGGCTAAACCTGGACCAAAGCCAGTCAATGTTTTCACATTGGTTGATGTTGGAAGTGGCCTCCGACACTGGGTAAAGGCCGAAAAAGCCAGGGATTTTAAATGCTGGGGATAGATCTCTCTATCTTCATGCTTCACAGGTTGCAACAGGTACTGACAAGGAATTATCTAAGAAGTGTAGGCAAATATTACAAATGTTAAACTTTCAAAAGAGAATAACAGGAATTGTGGGTCTAAAACTCTAAAAACTTTTTACTAGAAAATTTAAACAAAACCTAATTTAAATGAAAATTTAAGAATTGTTTTCTTATCTATTATGTAGGCTTTGAATAAGTAGCCAATTTTACCAATGGGTTCTGAACTAAAGGACTATTTAAAACCTGTATAATTTTCTGGCCAGGCGTAGTGGCTCACACTTGTAATCCCAGCACTTTGGGAGGCCAAGGTGGGCGGATCACGAGGTCAAGAGATAGAGACCATCCTGGCCAACATGGTGAAACCCCATCTCTACTAAAAATACAAAAATTAGCTGGGCGTGGTGGCACATGCCTGTAGTCCCAGCTACTCAGGAGGCTGAGGCAGGAGAATTGCTTGAACCCGGGAGGCAGAGGTTGCAGTGAGCCAAGATTGTGCCACTGCACTCCAGTCTGGCGACAGAACGAGACTCCATCTCAAAACAACAACAACAACAAAAAACTATAAATTTTCTATGTAATAATTATATTAATAATGCCATTGACCAGTCCTGAAGTCTATAAAATAAATTCAAAATTTCTTCTAACAACTTAATATGGTTAATTGCTTTCTCCTTTTCTTGCAACCTGTCTTGTATGTGCTATATCTTTCTATTTAGGCTCATGAATTTAAAAATTGGCTTATAAAAGTAACACAGGAGAAACATTTAATGTACTTAATGGACTTTTTAAAAATTCTGTATTATTACTGTGGTATGACTGTTTTTTATTCTGTATTATTACTGTGGTATGACTTATAAATTATCTAAGATTTATATTATGATATTAAAGTAAAATCAATATAATAGAACTTGGCTTTTAGATAATCAATTTGAATACAGAAAAGTAGTATCTGAAACTTCTGACAACATCAAACTGTTTTACATAATTTTAACTGACAACATTTATCACTCTTACCTGTACAGAAACAGTACTCTTGATATGAGGAGGAAGAGTCTGGACCATTTCTAGAAAGCATCGAAGTAGCCCCAATGTCCACACACTAGAAGAGTTAGCGCTCTCGTCTGTATTTTCGTATGTAAAAGGATCAATTATATAAACAACAATTGCAGGTGGATATGTGATCGCATGTGAATCACCATCTGTGGGGATTCCCACTTTATCCCGATCCATCGTGCTAAAATTTAAGGTAGAAATGAGACAAAAAGTTATACTGTATATGCTTGACGTAGCATATAAGCAGGTTCTTAATATCCCCCCTCCTCCCTCTTATTTGGTGAAAGGTGTGAGAAAGCCTCTCTGAAAATGAAGAACATTTCTTTCTCACCAAAGTTAACCATAAACATTGTAAATACAATTCCACAATGTATAAAGACACTTGCCTTAAGAGGTCTTGCCTTAAATTTACCAAAAAAGAAAAAGAAAAAAAAAGAAAAAAAGAATTCTTAAAACCATAGAGTATTAGATACAAAAGATTGCTTAGAGTTTAAGGGATAAAACTGAGACAAAGATAGGTATCTTTGTCTGAGGCTATCTCAAATAGCTTCCCAAATTTATAAAGTTGGTTACAGGTAGAGCTAGGCCAGAAAGAAACCATGTTTCCAGAAACCACGTTTCCAGACTCATTCAATGTTCTAGTACGTTTTTAGACTATATATACATGTTTTTTTTTTGAGATGGGGGTCTCACTATGTTAACCAGGTTGGTCTTGAACTCTTGGTCTCAAGCAATCCTCCTGCCTTAGCCTCTCAAAGTGCCAGGATTACAGGCATGAACCACTTAATCTCGTCCTATTTTTAGACTATATACATTTATTTCATACTTTATAGCTTCAATGGTGAACAAGTTTCATTCTTTGATGGGTGATTTGATTTTTTTACACTTCAAATCTATTCATATGTTCAAGAGAGGTGGATCAATCTGGGTAATGGTTTGTTTTTACCCATGAGTGTAATTTTGGGCACAACTGCACCCTGGATAGCTGACAGATATAATTAAGCTCTGGTTAACCTAGCCTATAAATCAAAAGGGAAGATCACTCAAAACCTTCATCATAAAAGGAATGAGAGCTGTCATGATCATTCCTGTCACCATAAATAACTTGGAATCACTGTGTAAAGTACTTAATGTATATTATATCATATTACTCTCATCTTACACATAAGAAAACATGCTCAGAAAGTTAGAGTTTCCCCAAAGTCACAAAGCAGCTAAATGGCAGAGCTGAGATTCAAACTTTAGTACCCCTCTAAAGCCTCTGAATAGACTGGGTCAATAGTGACTTCTCAATCACTCGAGTGATTTGCAGAGGCAAATCTACTTGACAATTATGCCACAGAAGACTCAAATGTCATGTGGGCATCTGGACTACATGGTTTTCAAGCTCTTAATTCCCACCCTCAGATTCTAGAATTCTATGATAAAGATTTTATGAAGTAAAGTCCTCATTATAATTTTATACATAAAATATTCAACACTAGACCTGGTGCGGTAGCTCATGCCTGTAATCCCAGCACTTTGGGAGGCTAAGGCAGGCAGATCGCTGAGTCCAAGAGTTCCAGACCAGCCAGGGCGACATGGTGAAACCCCGTCTCTACAAAAAAGTAGCTGGGTGTGGTTGTGCATGCCTGTAAGTCCCAGCTACTCAGAAGGCTGACGTGGGAGGATCACCTGAGCCCAAGAGGTCGAGCCTGTGGTGAGCCGTGATCACGCACTGTACTCCAGTCTGGGTGACAGAGTGAGACCTTGTCTTAAAAAAAGAAACAAACTAAAATTTCAAGAATAAGATAAAAAGCACTTTATGTTCATTCAGAATGTCTTATTTACAAAAAAGCAGCATGGTTGGGCATGGTGGCTCATGTCTGTAATCCCAGCACTTTCGGAAGCCAAGGCGGGCCGATCACCTGAGGTCAGAAGTTTGAGCCTGGTCAACACGGCAAAACCCCATCTCTACTAAAAATACAAAAATTAGCCAGGTGTGGTGGCACATGCCTGTAATTCCAGCTACTGGGGAAGTTGAGGGAGGAGAATCGCTTCAAACCAGGAGGCAGAGGTTGCAGTGAATGGAGATCCCGCCACTGCACTCCAGCCTGGGCAAAAGAATGAGACTCTGTCTCAAGAAAAAAAAGAAAAAAGAAGTATCATAGTTTTCATATTTCTGCAAAAGCAGTATTTTTAAAGGTACCTTTCAGACACATCAGGATGCGGCTGAGTGGGAAGTGAAGATGATTCTCCAGAAATCCCAGCTGTCTGTAGAGTTGATGTCTGTTGCCCTCCTAGTTGACCACTCTGAACTGTATTTGCTTGTGTAGACATGGATCCTGCAGCATTACTGTTCATACTGCCAAAGGGTGGAAATGAAGGTAGTTTATTTGATGATACTCCACTATTCAAGTTGGAGGATGATGAAGATGAAGTTGAAGCTGTGGTCAAAGTTGAATTAGCTGTGGCAACTGAAGTAGATATGGCAACACCTGAAGTCATTGTCATAGTGCTGCTTGCTGCAGATGCTAAGGTGGCAGATGGAGTATTAGCATTTCCAGTATTTGTCATCTGAGGTGGAGTAATCAAAGACTGACTTGTAGGGGCAACTAAATTTGGCTGGGAAAGTAGAGAGCTGTCCAATGGCAGGGAAGCAAGATAAGGACCTAAAGAATAAAAACAGGTAGGAAATTTAATTCTTTATTTGACCGACTGGTTCTTTTTTTTATTCTACTGTGTAAACAGAATCATAATCCAGTTGATGTTTTCTTGGTAATTATAGCCCCTAAATTGCTTGCTAATGGTGTGACCTACATTTGCTTTCTATTTTCCTCTAGAAACTGAAGAAACATATTTAAAATGGAATTGAAAAAGCCAGAATTTTCACTTAAAATTAAAGAAATGATTACTATGAAAGTGTAACAAAATTCTATTTTCTAAGTATAATGGAATGTAAAAAAAGGTATCTAGCAATATTCACCAAACTATTCAAAGGGTTTCTAAATCACAAATCAAATAAATATTGGCTACATTGGCAGCTAATTAAAATATAAAATGGTATAATGTTATCATGGCGTTCAAATTACAGGAATGTCTAACGAGATTCAATATTTTGGTTCTGCATCTCTTTGGATTAAGTCTACAGGAAGTCCACTGATATTTATTTCAAGAGTATTTATAAGCAATACAGTTGGGCATGGTAGAATGAAAGAAAAAAACGTATGTAACAAGTAAGTCTTAAACAGCTGTCATTTTCTTAGCTACAACAAAGAACTATTTCTTGGTTTGGTAGAGATTAACTATAAATTATTTTATCTCTGAACTGTAACAAATGAAGAATCTTCATGTTATTAAAACATCAGACCCTACAGAGGCAACAGAAAATTTATCTATAACCCGTAATTTCATCCTACCTGATGGGATCCCTCATTAGGGATTAGCAAACTTGTTCTGTAAAGGGTCAGATAATAAATACTTTCGTCTTTGCAACCACACAGTCTCTTTGCAACCACACAACTACTCAGCTCCAATGTTGTAGCACAAAAGCAGCCAGCGAAAATACATAAATAAATGAGGATGGCTGTGTTCCAATAAAATTTTATCTACAAAAACAGCTGGTGGACCAGGCCACATTTTGCCAACACCAGCCTTATACAATAAATACAAATTCAATACCTAGGTCATATCTGCAGACTTGTGCATAAAGCTTGAGTTTAGAAAATGCTTCATTGTTACCATCAGCTGCCTGAGAAAACCATTCTGCTACCAACTTTTCTGATAGTTTATTTGATGCAGTAGATCCGACTCTCATGATCCCATCTGTTAACAGTCGAGAAACAGGTCTATGTTGACCTAATCGACAGGACTACAAATATACATACAGAAAGCAGAATTAGTAAATTTATTATAGTGTTTAGGTACACATTATAAAACCAAGCATGAAAGCTATTTAAAATAAGCTTAACCATTTGCAATTAACAGTTACGATAAAAATATCAACTGTGTTTTTAGAAGTAGGTCAAAAAAATAAACATATCAAGGGTGAAATGGTGCCACAGGTCTTTTTCATTTTTACATTAGAAATTCATTAAGTTTTTTTCAAAATTAAAATATCTCTAATGAAAAAACACCTAGCTAACAATAGTACTAGAACCATTTGGTTTGAATAAAAGCTTGCAGAATGCAGAAATAGGTAAGCATAAAAATGCAGTCATTTTAGGTATACATTAACTCCAATTCATGAATTATGAATACACATATCCCTAAATCAAAGCATAATAAAAATTGGCATACAAATTTATTTATATACCCTCTCCATCTAGTTTTGTGAGTCACTGATTTTTGTTGTAAGAAGCCCAATGTCAAATAAATTTGTAACATTGGATTAAGCAAACTTAGAAGACTTCTTTACTGTAAGAATTTCAAAGCCTTTAAAAACCTAGTACGAATTGTGAATCTCTAAAAAGTAATATAATATACAATGTTTTCCCAAGCCTATTTAACTATGGAACTTTTTTTCTGAGAGGATTTTACCGGCTAATATTCCAAATAACACCCTTTGGGAAATGTTTATTTATTAAAAACACACTACAAATAACTTGTAATTATGTGGAAAATTTTATAAGGAAGCTAAACTAACATACACTAACATTCAGATTGTAAAAGGAATCAAAATTTAAAGACTAAATTTCCAAGCCTTTGTGGAAAAACGAGGGAATAATAAAGTAAGACTTCATGTCCCATAACACTTTTAATTTACAATTATTGTGCCTGGTAATGGATATGTGAGAATTATAACTTAAAAGAAAGGGCAAGAATTTCAGACCCGAAATGGACCTTAGTGATATCTAGCATAGATTTATTTTACATATGAGGAAAGTGAGGCCTAGTGTCACTACCTGAAATCCTGGAGAATAAAGACTAGAATTTTTGTAAATGTAATTTTTTCCCTGAGGAGCTATTTAACATTTATCCTTTGTTTTAGAAAAGGCCACATTAAAATGGATATATGTATATATACATGCCCTCAATGTTTCTTCCTCCAATAGAGAGATAGCCACTCTGACCCATGGCATACACATCTAACAGACTGGGTCAAACTCAGCAAAGAATGTAACTGGCTAGTATGAGAAATAAACATCTAATCTGACATTATCACTGTGTCCCAATCAACTGAACTGCCCAGTATGCTGTATATACAACAATACAAATCGTAAGGTAGTTTTAAAATGTCATCTCTTTTTAAACACCTACCTCATATATTGCAGTAAGATCTCTAAAAAAGCTTTTGGCTCCATTTAACAAGGCTTCATTCTCTGGACACAGTACAACATAGGCTATATCTCTTTGAGATCCATAGGGTTCCAGCATAAGTCTCTCCCAATAAGGAAGAGCAAATGGAGAAAGCACCAGATAATCATAATCATAACCCAACAAAAATGTGGGGATTGGCAGTGGTTCTGGGGATTCATCAGTTCCTAAATAAGAAAGATGTATTTTAAGAAAACACTTAAAAACAAGACATGTCTCCTTTTTATTTAAATGTCAAAAGTTAATGAAGTCATTATGAGTGAAAATATTTTATTACAGACAAAAATACTTAATGCCAGTGATCAAGACTTTTCAACAGTTAGGGATTTCCTAAACAAGTCTTTTTATTTACTTATTTTTTTGAGACAGGGTCTTGCTCTGTTGCCCAGGTTAGACTGCAGTGGAACAATCATGCCTTACTGCAGCATTAACATACTGGGCTCCAGTAATCGTCTGGCCTCAGCTTCCCGAATAGCTGGGACTACAGGTGTGTGCCACTACGCCTGGCTAATTTTTAAAGTTTTTGTAGAGATGGGATCTTGCTGTGTTGCCCAGGTTGGTCTCAAACTCCTGAGCTCAAGTGATCCTCCTTCCTCAGCCTCCCGAAGTGCTGGGATTACATGCGGGAGCCACCACGTCTGGTCTGCATTTAAATTTTTGGCATGGGTCTGGATGCAGTGGCTCACACCTGAATTCCAGCACTTTGGGAGGCCGAGGTGGGCAGATCACTTGAGGTTAGGAGTCTGAGACCAGCCTGACCAACATGGAGAAACCCCATCTCTACTAAAAATACAAAATTAGCCAGACGTGGTGGTGCATGCCTGTAATCCCAGCTACTCGGGAGGCTGAGACAGGAGAACTGATTGAACCCAGGAGGTTGTGGTGAGCCGAGATTGCGCCATTGCACTCCAGCTGTGCAACAAGAGCAAAACTCCGTCTCAAAAAAAAAAAAAAAGGGACATAAAAATACACTGTAGGCCAGGTGCTATGGCTCATGCCTGTAATCTCAGCACCTTGGGAGGCTGAGGTGGGAGGATTACTTGAGCCCAGGAGTTTGAGGCCTAGGCAACGCAGTGAGACACCATCCCTATTTATATATTTAAAAACAATATAATTTTAAAAATAGAAAAAAGAAAAAAACCTTATATATTTTTTTGAGACGGAGTCTTGCTCTGTCACCCAGGCTGGAGTGCAGTGGCGCGATCTCGGCTCACTGCAAGCTCCGCCTCCCGGGTTCACGCCATTCTCCTGCCTCAGCTTCCTGAGTAGCTGGGACTACAGGCGCCCGCCGCCACGCCCGGCTAATTTTTTGCATTTTTAGTAGAGATGGGGTTTCACTGTATTAGCTAGGATGGTCTCGATCTCCTCACCTCGTGATCCACCCGCCTCGGCCTCCCAAAGTGCTGAGATTACAGGCGTGAGCCACCGCACCCGGCCATGAAAAAAACCTTATTAAGTGTGTAGATTTCATGTTAAGTGTTCTGTTTCTTAGTTTTTTTTTTGTTTTTGTTTCTGTTTTTGAGATGGAGTCTTGTTCTGTTGCCTAGGCTGCAGTGCCGTGTTGCGATCTCCACTCACTCCAACCTCCACCTCCTGGGTTCAAGCAATTATCTCACCTCAGCCTCCCAAGCAGCTGCGATTATAGGCACACATCACCACACCTGGATAATTTTTTGTATTTTGGTACAGATGGGGTTTCATCATGTTGGCCAGGCTGGTCTCAAACTACTGACCTCAAGTGATCCGCCCACCTCGGCCTCCCAAAGTGCTGGGATTACAGGCATGAGTCACCATGCCTGGTGAGTGTTCTTAACATAATAAAAAATTTTTAAAAGAAAATGACCAACAACCTAATAGAAAAATGGGTTAAGAACATGAAGATTACAAAACAAAACTATAACACATAAAAAGATGCTCTTTCTCATTAAAAAAAAAAAGAGCAATTTAAAATTAATAATAGCAAACAATGATAATGCTATGTGCTAGGTACTGTTGATAGCTCTCTGTATGTACTGACTCACTTAATCCTCACAAAAAACATAAGGCAGAAACTATTATTTTTTTTTTTGAGACGGAGTCTCACTCTGTTGCCCAAGCTGGAGTGCAGTGGCCGGATCTCAGCTCACTGCAAGCTCCGCCTCCCGGGTTTATGCCATTCTCCTGCCTCAGCCTCCCAAGTAGCTGGGACTACAGGTGCCCGCCACCACGCCCGGCTAGTTTTTTGTATTTTTTTAGTAGAGACGGGGTTTCACCGTGTTAGCCAGGATGGTCTCAATCTCCTGACCTCGTGATCCGCCCGTCTCGGCCTCCCAAAGTGATGAGATTACAGGCTTGAGCCACTGCGCCTGGCCAGAAACTATTATTAACTTCATTTTAGAGATGAGAATAACATAAATTAGGAAGTTAAGCAATTTCTCTAGAATTTCACAAGAAGTACCAGGGTAGGAATTTAAACCCAGGAAATCTATCCCCACAGTCTGTACTATTTAATCTCTCAAACACTGAATCAGCAACCTACTAGGCAAGGCTTTGGGAAAATAGGCACTTTAACTGGTGGGCATTCAAATCGATACTACAGGGGCTGGGCATGGTGGCTCACGCCTGTAATCTCAGCACTTTGGGAGGCCTAGGCAGGTGGATCACTTGAGGCAAGGAGTTCGAAAACAGACTGGGCAACATGGCAAAATCCCATCTCTACTAAAAATACAAAAATTAGCCAGGTGTGGTTAATGCATGCCTGTAATCCCAGCTACTCGTGAGGCTGATGCATGAGAACTGCTTGAACCTGGGAGGCAGAGGGTGCAGTGAGCTGACATCATGCCACTGCACTCCAGTCTGGGCGAGAGAGTGAGACTGTCTCAAAAATAAAATAATAATTTTAAAAAAAAGGTATTACAGAATTACAGAGAGTTATTTAGTTTTTTTTTTTTCTTTTCTTGAAATACACATCTGGGTGCTTATAGTCTAGCCATTTGGGAGGCTGAGGTGGGCAGATCACTAGGGCCCAGGAGCTGGAGACCAGCCTGGGAAACATGGCAAAACCTCATCTCTACAAAATATACAAAAATTAGCTGGGTGTGGTGGCACGCACCTGTAGTACCAGCTACTTGGGAGGCTGAGGTGGGAGGATCACTTGGGCCCAGGAGGTTACGGCTGCAGTGAGCCATGATTGTGCCACCGTACTCCAGCCAGGGTGACAGAACATATCTCAAAAATAATAATAAATAAAATAAAAATACACCCATGCTTTAAAGCCAGGGATCTGTGCATTACTGAAATAGAGCTGTAATGATAATGGTGGAAACAATCTATATGTTCATAAACACTGCACTCGTAAAATATATTATCATATGTAAAGAACAATGGAATACATGAATACATATAGCCATAAAAAAAAAAAGATAATCTCTATATGTGCAGATAAAAATGATCTCAGGCACAGAAATAAATAAATAAATGTACTATATTAGGTTGGTTTTTTTTTTTTTTTTTGAGACAGAGTTTCGCTCTTGTTGCCCAGGCTGGAGTACAATGGCGTGATCTTGGCTGGCGGCAACCTTGGCTGGCGGCAACCTCCGCCTCCCGGGTTCAAGTGATTCTCCTTCTCCTGCCACAGCCTCTCAAGTAGCTCGGATTACAGACATGCACCACCATGCCCGGCTTATTTTGTATTTTTAGTAGAAATGGGGTTTCTTCATGTTGGTCAGGCTGGTCTCGAAGAACTCCCGACCTAGGTGACCCACCTGCCTTGGCCTTCCAAAGTGCTGAGATTACAGGTGTGAGCCACCGCGCCCAGCTACTATCTTAGTTTTTAAAATAATGTAAAAGTTTATACTAAAATATATTTTCTGGCTGGGCGCGGTGGCTCATGCCTGTAATCCCAGCACTTAGGAAGGCTAAGGCAGGCAGATCACTTGAGGCCAGGAGTTGGAGACCAGCCTGGTCAACATGATGAAACCCTGTCTCTACTAAAAATACAAAAAATTAGCCAGGCATGGTGGCGCGCACCCATATTCCCAGCTACTCAGGAGGCTAAGCCAGGAGAATTGCGTGAACCCAGGAGGCAGAGGTTTTGTAATGAGATTTAAATTATTTAGCCATTAAAAGAGGGAGAAAAGGAAAATATAGGCAAATCCACTACTTTCACATATAATACATTCCAAATTCATACACAAAAGTCAAAGATTTCAAGAAGTATTATTCCAAATACATTTGAAAAACTCCAATTACAGCCCACCTTTCAGAGATAATCTTCCACAAATAGTCCAAATATTTGGAATGGTCTTTTCATCACAGCTGACCATAAATCTGCATACCTACTACGAGAATTCATTTTCTACTCTTGTCACAACCAGCAAATTTCTTCTTTGTTGTAATTATTTTTAAATGAAGACCTTAGGTCCTTTTATCACTAGTATAGCCCTCATTCCCCACTCTGCCTCCCTTTTTCATTGAATTTTGTAAAATAATTTATAACAAAGTATTTTTTTGCCATTTAAAAAAAAAAAAAAAAAAAAAACCTTAGCAGTATGTCCCTTTCTTCATGTAAAATCTTGAGGGAAAGTCCCCTATGTGCAAAAACAGACCTGAGAGAAGCCACTCCTTTTGAAGCGGGGTTGGAGAGTTGAGTAAGCTGAATGTTTGAAATGGTGGGGAAAAAAGCTAGGATTGGACCACAGTGGCCTTAAGAATATACCACAAATATATTTAAAGAAAATTAATGTGCTTATTCTAATTGGGCACAGAAATCTGAGAACTGATATAAAATCAGTCATTATTTATCACTATAAATTACTTACCATAAGAGCCTCGGCCAGCCATTTTATGAAATTGTTGCCAAGTAAGAGGACCCTGAACACCCCAAGGTCTTACTGTTCTTTTTTTCTGAATGGCATCCTGAAGAACTGGCTGAAGAGAGAGGAGCATTCGAAGTATATCCTGTGAGCACTGCATACTCACATCTACAAGCATTTAAAAAAAAAAGTAATTAAGAACTGCTATTCCCAACACAAATAAAATTTTAAGATAATACAAAACACACATAGGGAAGTTCAGGTCTGCATCATCAAGAAGATTAAACCCTTGCCTTGTACAGACAATTGTATTAAGTTCTATAAGATGATCTGTAAAAATGGTTCTTGTAGATACTTACAACCAAGAAGACACACAATAAAAAGCTACTGTAACTTATCTCCATAAAAAGTCATTCATTAGCTGATTAATCAAATTTATAAATTAGTCAAATAAATTTCTTTCTTTTTGCATTTATGGTGGCTGGTTTGGTGCTGTAGGTATTTTACCAGAAAGAAGTCTGCCTCACATTGAAATTATATCCCATAATTAGCACTACTATGGTAAAGTGAATAAAGACTGGTTATAATTATTAAAGTTTAATTTGAAAAAAAAGTAGACTTTGACAATTCTAAAATACAAAAACTATACAGTAACTTGCTCACACTGCTAAAAAGTATATTATCCATAGATATTTTATAAGCTTATACATCTTAAAGATTTATAGATTATCAAATTATGACCTGCATTTCTGACCAACTATCAGAATGGGTATGAAAGGTGCTCCACATAAATGTCAAATGGCTCAAGGAAAAATCACTAAATGATATTGATATAATAAATGTGGCCCCCAGAATGGTCCAGTTGTACCACTCAACCTGTTTGAGCAGTTATATTAAATCATTCAATTTTATTTTATTTTTTTTATTTTTTTTATTTTTTTTTTGAGACGGAGTCTCGCTCTGCCGCCCAGGCTGGAGCGCAGTGGCCGGATCTCAGCTCACTGCAAGCTCCGCCTCCTGGGTTCACGCCATTCTCCTGCCTCAGCCTCCCGAGTAGCTGGGACTATAGGCGCCCACCACCTCACCCGGCTAGTTTTTTTTGTATTTTTTAGTAGAGACGGGGTTTCACCGTGTTAGCCAGGATGGTCTCGATCTCCTGACCTCGTGATCCGCCCGTCTCGGCCTCCCAAAGTGCTGGGATTACAGGCTTGAGCCACCGTGCCCGGCAATCATTCAATTTTAATTTGTTATTACCTTTGCCTAATTTATCGTTATAGGCCCCAATTTCCTATATCTAAAAAGTGTACTGGCTGGGCCCAGTGGCTCACACCTGTAATTCCAGCACTTTGGGAGGCCAACGCGGGTGGACTGTTTGAGGTCAGGAGTCTGAAACCAGCCTGGCCAACACAGTGAAACCCTGTCTCTACCAAAAACTATAAAACTTAGCCAGGCATGGCGGCGCATGCCTATAATCCCAGCTACTTGGGAGGCTAAGGCAGGAGAATTGCTTGAACCCAGGAGGCAGGGGTTGCAGTGACCCGAGATCATGCCACTGCACTCCAGCTTGGGTGACAAAGTGAGAGCCCATCTCAAAAAACAAAAACAAAAACAAAAAAAAGTGTACAGAACTAGCTAAAACTAAGTTCCAAATACAATACTTAATACGTAATATGCTTAAATAAACGTTTGCATACACAGTAGAATACTATTTAGTAGTTGAAAATGCTAATAGGCTGGGCTTGGGTGGTGGCTCATGCCTGTCATTCCAGTACTTTGGGAGACTGAGGCAGTCAGACTGCTTGAGCTTAGGAGTTCACGGGCAGCCTGCACAACATGGCAAAACCCTGTCTCTACAAAAAGTTAGCCAGATATGGTGCCACATGCCTGTGGTTCCAGCTACTCAGGAGAATGAAGTGGGAGGATCACCTGAGCCCATGAGGTCGAGGTTACGGTAAGCCATGATGGCATAACACTGCACTTCAGCCTTGACAACAGAGCGAGACCCCTTCCCAAAAAAAAAAAAAAAAAAAAAAAAAAAAAAAGAAAGAAAAAAGATCAGAAAAAAATACCTACGAAGTACTATGTTTATTACCTGCATGACAAAATGATCTGTATGCTGACCCCCAGGACACACAGTTTACCTTTTACTTATATAACAAACCTGGCACACATACCCATGAACCTAAAATAAAAGTTTTTAAAAAAAGGAGTGATCATGGAGGATAATCAATCAATAGAAATAAACTGAAAATCCAGAAATCAACCCTCCTGCTTATGATAAATTGATTTTTGACAAAGGTACCAAGACAACTTAACATTTTCCATAGGTGATTCTGGGACAACTAGATATCCACATGCAAAAGAATGAAGTCAGAACCCTTCCATATACTATATACAAAATATTCAGAATGGATCAGAGATCTAAATATAAGAGCTAAAACTAAAAAGTTATTTCAAAAAAGTAATAGGAGTAAATTTTCAAGACCTTGGGTTAGGTCCTGACCTACACATCAAAAGCACAAGCAACAAGAGAAAAATTGGACTTCATCAAAATTAAAAATGTTTGTGCTTCAAAGAATACCAGCAACGAAATAAAAAGATTTCACATCCTATGGAGATACGAAAAAAAGGAAAGTGAAAAGAAGCTGAGTGTGATAGCAGGCCCCTGCAGTCCTAGCTACCTGAGGCTGCAGCGGGAGGATCGCTTGAATCCAAGAGTTCGAGACCAGCCTGGGCAAACTAGCAAGACCCTGTATCTTCAAAAAAAAAAAAAAAAAAAAAAAAAAAAGATGAAAAGACAACGCAGAGTATAGGAGAAAATATATGCAAATCACACATGTGGTAAGGGGGCTTGTGTCCTTGTATCCAGGATATATTTAAAAAACTCTTAGGATTCGATAATAAAAATACATAAAAACCTAATTTTAAAAATGGGCAAAAAATCTGAAGAGTCATTTCTCCAAAGAAGATATACAAATGGACAACAAGCATATTAAACAATGTTCAACATTATTAGTCATTAGGGAAATGCAGATAAAACCACAATGAGATACTACTTCACACAAAGTTATCACAATGAGATACTTTGATTATAAGATGACTATAAGAAAAACAATGTGACAAGTGTAAGTGAAACCCTCATATGTTGCTGGTAGTTATGTAAAATGGTGCAGCTGCTATGGAAAACAATCTGGCAGTTCCTCAAAAGATTAAACAGGTCAGGTGTGGTGGTGCATGCTTGTAATCCCAGCTACGGGGAGGCTGAGGCACAAGAATTGCTTGAACCTGGGAGTCGGTTGCAACCTGGTTGCAATGAGCCAAGATTGAGGCCCAATGCACTCCAGCCTGGATGACAGAGCAAGACTCTTGTCTCAAAACAAAACAAAGGCCAAGTGCAGTGGCTCACACCTGTAATCCCAGCACTATGGGAGGCCGAGGCAGGTGGGTCACCTGAGGTCAGGAGTTTGAGACCAGCCTGGCCAATATGGTGAAACCCCGTCTCTACTAAAAATACAAAAATTAGTTGGGCGTGGTGGTGGGCGCCTGTAATCCCAGTTACTCGGGAGGCTGAGGCAGGAGAATTGCTTGAACCTGGGAGGCGGAGGTTAGAGTGAGCCAAGATTGCGCCACTGCACTCCAGCCTGGGCAACGAGAGCGAGACTCCATCTCAAAACAACAACAACAAAAAAGATTAAACAATATGACTCAGTGAGTCTGCTTAAGAGTAATAAAAACATGTCCATATAAAAACTTGTACACAAATGTTCATGGCAGCATTATTCACAATAGCCAAAAAGTGGGAAAAAACTAAATATCCATCAACTGATGAATGGGTAAATAAAATACAGTATCTTCATACAATGGAATATTATTTGGCAATAAAGTACTAATATGTGCTATAGCATAGGTGAACCTTGAAAACATTATGCAAAGTGAAAACAGTCACTGAAGACCATACAGTATATAATTCTATTGATATGAAATATCCAAAAGCAGTAAATCTAGGTAGACAGAAAGTAGACTAGTGGTTGTCTATAGCTAGGAAAGGTGGTTGAACGGAAAAAGGGAGTGACTGCTAACAGGTAGGGGGTTTAATAAGAAAATGTTCTAAAACCGACTGTGTTGATTACTGCCCAACTCTGCATACTAAAAAGCAGCCAACTGTACATTTTAAATGGGTGAATAGTATGGTATTCTTAATTTTTGTTCAGCAAGTATGTATTTTTTATAATTAGAACAGAGCTTTCTCTATCTTCAACAAAATTAACGTTGTCATTAAAATCTACAAACTACACTGGCCAGGCGCGGTGGCTCATGCTTGTAATTCCAGCACTTTGGGAGGCTGAGGCGGGTGGATCACGAGGTCAGGAGATCGAGACCAGCCTGGCCAACACAGTGAAACTCCATCTCTACTAAAAATACAAAAAATTAGCTGGGTGTGCGGCGGGCGCCTGTAGTCCCAGCTACTCAAGAGGCTAAGGCAGGAGAATGGCGTGAATCCGGTAGGCACAGCTTGCAGTGAGTGGAGATCACGCCACTGCACTCCAGCCTGGGCTAAACAGAGTAAGACTGCGTCTCAAAAACAAAACAAACAAAAAAAAAAGAAAAAAAAAACCACATATATATACACAAACTATACTTTGCAGACTTTTAAATTCATTCAAACATATCTTCTTTTTCAAGATGTTAAAACTAAATAAACAAATCCAAACATCTATTTTAATATCCTGATCTACTGTGTTCATTATTCTAGGTGTTTAGATTATAGACAAAAATCTTTGCCTTTACACATAACTTTGCAAAGAGTGTACTTAATGGAGGTAAGAAACAACAATTAATAAATTTTATTATGTTAGAAGGTAATAGTCAACACTATGGAAACAAAGCAAGATGGAGAACATGAAGAAGGGTTTGCATTTTTATGAGAAGATGACATCTGACAAGATTTAAATGGCCGGGCGCGGTGGCTCAAGCCTGTAATCCCAGCACTTTGGGAGGCCGAGGCGGGCGGATCACAAGGTCAGGAGATCGAGACCACAGTGAAACCCCGTCTCTACTAAAAAAAATACAAAAAAAATTAGCCGGGCGCGGTGGCGGGCGCCTGTAGTCCCAGCTACTCAGGAGGCTGAGGCAGGAGAATGGCGGGAACCCAGGAGGCGGAGCTTGCA